CGATCCAAAGCCAGAAGTCTGGAACTTCTTCCTGGTCTCCCATGTGGGTGCAAGGGCCCAAGCACTGGGGCCATCTTCAACTGCTTTCCCAGGCCATAGCGCAGAGCTGGATCTGAAGACGAGCAGCCGGGACTTGAACCAATGCCCCTATGGGATTCTGGCACCACAGGCAGAGACAGCCTACTACGCCACAGTACCAGTCCCAGCTGCTATAGTTTTAATGATCTGTGATGATTTAATATGAGTGAAATTAACATCTTTTCATTTGATCGTTGCTTGTAACTCTTGCCTATATTCCTGTTGAACTGTAATCTTTTTAGTTGAACTCTATTTGGTGGAGCATTAAGCCTCTGATTATAATGTAAGTTTAAAATGTGTTATCTCAAAAATTCAGAAAGAGAAAAAGAGGAAGGAAGCATCATTAGATTCTTGGAATTGTATCTATGAGCTACATTAAATCTGTTTTCTTTATATTAATATCCCAAAAAAATCATTGTGACAACATAATGAAAGAAAAAAATAGTTAATAGATGCAGAAAAAGCATGTGGAAAAGTTTATTTATGATTAAAACTCTCAGTACACTAGAAATAGAAGAAAACTTTGTTAATCTTACAAGAGGTATCTGAAAAACTACAGCACCTGCTTTCCTCCTGAGATTTAGGCTATACCAGCAATTGTCATAATGTAATCCAATGACTCTAAGAGTTCCAGATATCTTTCAGGGGTATGTAAAGTCACAACCATTTTAGTAATAGTACAAAGCTGTTATTTGCCTTTTTTTACTCTTTTTTTTTTTCTCATGAGCGTACAGTGGACTCATCCAAAGGCTACATGACAGCTGTAGCACAACACATTGAATACAGGAGGCAACTGTGGAAATCCAACTATCTCATTTTATTAAGCCAGAAAGTAACAGAATTGGCATTAGGAAGCAGTGTTGGAAGCATTGTAACTGGGACTCAGTCTTGCACTGCAGTAGAGGATATGAGCTTCTCAAGTGGTAGCTGGACCAGCCGTACCACAATGCCTGCTCATCTCTACTTTTTGATGTGTGGGCCCTCAGATAGGAAAAGTTGAATGTCTGGTCATATCATGATATCTGGATTCTGAAATAGAGTGTCCTTGGAGGTAGATGGCGAGGCAGAGGCTTTGAGACTTCTGACCCTCCCTTGTATCATTTCCACCCTGTTGGTTGAAGTAACTATGCATTCCCAAATTCAAAGCAAGGAGACTGACTCGTCCTCTCAGTGGGGGGAGTTTCAAAGATTCACCAAGATGTTTTTACAGCCATCAGAAGATTGGCACTCTTACCTCATTGAAGTTATACAGAATAATTAAGAATTGTTTACCACTTAAAGCCATAATTGTTGAACAGTCTCAGTTTGATCTGTCAAGATTTCACTTATAATAATCCTTTTATTACTAAAGGGAAAATCTTTTTTGTACTAAGGGAAAAATTAATGACAGTGCTTTACCACCCCCATTTCAAGCCATCTTTGGGGATTTAAAGGTCATAAATATCAGTTACATCATGTGTTTTAGGGTTAGTTCTCCAGAGTGCAAACCTTACAGATTCATGAAGCATTGTTCATTAGAGTCATTTTATATAGCTATTTTTTCTAAGATGAGTTCTATTATAAATTCTCACAGGTGAATTTTTATTTTGTGAGCAAAAGATACTTACAGAAATACCTCTTAGACCAGTGTTGCTGCTTTTTTTGTTTTTTAATGGCTTGAGGATTTTTTTTGTCTTTGATTTTTCTTCAGTTTGAAAATGATAGATTTAGGTACGGGTTTTATGTGTTTATTCTTTTTGTTTTCTGAGCTTCTAAGATCTATGGTGTGGTATCTTTATTAATTTTGAAACAGTCTTTACTACTTAAAATATTTCTTTGTTCCCTTTCTTTTTTTCTCCTTCTCTCCCATTATACATGTTAAATCTTTTATCACTGTCCTGCAATTCTTAGATATTTTTGTTTGATTTTTCAGTCCTTTTTGTTTGCATTTTAGTTTTAGAAGCTTACTTTGACCTTGGTTCTTTACTCCATTGTAGCCAATATGCTGATCAGTGTACCAGAGGCATTCATTTCTATGACAGTTCTTATTTCTAACATTTTCTTTTTATTCTTCCTGAGAATTTCCTTCTCTTCTTACATCATTCATGTTATCTGCTTTTTCCATTATGATCCATAGCATATTATTCATAGTTACTTTAAATTTCCAGCCCATTAAGTCCCAAATCCCTGCGCTATTTGAATCTAATTCTGTAGCTTTTTATTTTTACTTACCTTTTTTTTTTTTGTCTCTAAACTATGTTTTGCCTTCTTAGTATGCCTTGTAATTTTTTGTTGAAACTGGAGTTAGGCTGTGTTTATTATTTCTTGTAGCTGTGGCTGTCTAAAATACCCTCCAGTAGCCTTGTTTTTATTCCCTGTATTGTCTTTGTGTTTCCCTAGGGAGGTACCTTCTTAAATAAGGTCTGATACAAGCAATCTGACTGATGGGGAGCCTGGGGATAAGGTGTGGGGAGAAAGGAAGCATTCTGTAGTCATTACTTTCAGCTGTTGAGGTGAGCAGGGTTGAGGGGATATTGGAGTTGGTTATTTTTTCCCCAGCTCAGTTAGGCTGTTGTAAAATAATTTGGAGGAGTAGTGGTTTGTTAAGGAGAACAGAAATGCTGTATGCTATTTCAAAATGTTTATGTTTTAGCTCCTTTTGCTGGAAGCAAGATTTTTTTTCTCCTGTCTTCATCCTGAGATACTAGTGGCCTGCCTTCTGGGACTGGGCCCCAAGAGTTGTTGTTTTTCTCAAACTAGTCATTACTGAGGCTCTCTCAGTTGGTCTGAATTCAAGTTTAAGTATTCATATTGGTAATGGCTCCGTTGGTAGGCTCCTGCTACTGGTAAATTGTGATTCACAGTGTTTGCCTCTGTTTCCACTTTCTGTGACCTCAGTTCTCTGGTGGATCTAAGAAGAGTTGATGTTTTCAATTTGTTTTTTGTTGTTGTTCTGAGATAGGAATCGTAATTTATAGCTCTTATGAATATATAAAGTGTTAATTGTGACTTCCTGGAAACCTTTTGTGTTCTCTTTGATGACTGTGTATTTGTTCAAAACACAAAGCAGTAACTACTATGAACCAGCATAGGTTTCCTAGAAATATCAAAACTCTGACAAAACTTTCAGTATGGTAGGAGGAAACAGTGTAAAAATATTGGCAAAAACTTTGAACTTTGACTCAGAAGATTGGTTTTAATTTTAGCTAGACCACCAACAAAGATTTGGGATTTTAGGATTTAGAAAAAGATTATAGAATTAGAGATTGTGTTAATACAGTCAGGTTTCTGTATCTGTGGGATCCATATCTGTGGATCCACTCAATTCACATTGAAAACACACTTTAAAAAATGCCATCTGTGCTGAACATGCACAAACTTTTTCTTACTGTTTCTTAGACTATAGGATATAATGTCTATCTACCTGTATGTATAGCATTTATATTTTATTAGTTATTATAAGTAATCTAGAGACAATTTAAAGAACACAAGAGGATTGCATAAGTTATGTTTAGTTACTGTGCCTTTTTTTTTTTTTTTTTTTTTAGATTTTTATTTGTTTATTTGAAAGGTAGAGCTACAGAGAGAGGGAGAGAAGAGAAGTCTTCCATTTGCTGGTTCACTCCCCAAATGGCCGCAATGGCCAGAGCTGGGCCTATTAGAAGTCAAGAGCCAGGAGCTTCTTCCGTGTCTCCAATGCAGGTGTAGGGGCCGAAGCATTTGGGCCATCTTCCATTGCTTTCCCGGGGCCATAAGCAGAGAGCTGGATCGGAAGAGGAGCAGCCGGGACATGAGCTGGCACCCATATGGGATGCCGGTGTCACAGGCAGAGACTTAGTTTGCCATGCCACAGTGCTGGCCCCTACTGTGTTATTTTGTATAAGAGATTGGACAGCTTTGGATTTGGGTATCCATAAGAGGTCTTGGAACCAATCTTGTAGACTGAGAAGAAAGATCCTCTGAGGCTGGGATCTGTTTCTCTCATTTTTGTTTTCCCTTTGAGTCTTCTACAGTGCCTCAAACATAGGAAAAGGAGTGAAATTAAGAAAGGATGTAAGAATTTATTTTCAGACATGTGACTATTAATGATTTGGTGGGGTATTTAATGGAAATATGTAGCCAATAAGTGAAAATCTTTTACTAGCACTTAAGACAGCATAGAAATTTTGTCTAAGATTTCCTTAATTATACAATATGATCCTTAAAAGATTACATGGGGGCCGGCGCCGCGGGGCTAATCCTCTGCCTGCGGCGCCGGCACACCGAGTTCTAGTCCCGGTCGGGGCGCCAGATTCTGTCCCGGTTGCCCCTCTTCCAGGCCAGCTCTCTGCTATGGCCCGGGAAGGCAGTGGAGGATGGCCCAAGTGCTTGGGCCCTGCACCCCATGGGAGACCAGGAGAAGCACCTGGCTCCTGGCTTCAGATCAGTGCAATGCACTGGCCGCAGCGCACCAGCCACAGCGGCCATTGGAGGGTGAACCAACGGCAAAAGGAAGACCTTTCTCTCTGTCTCTCTCTCTCTCTGTCCACTCTGCCTGTCAAAAAAAAAAAAAAAAAAAATTACATGGTGTCTATTCATTTAATTTTTTGAATGAATGAAATTTATTCATTTTACCATGAGTACTTTCACATCATGAATACTTTTTTCACCATAACTATTTTATACTTATACCCTCAGTACTTTTAAGAAGCTGGATAGAGCAGTGTTCATAATCTCATGTACAAAACCTACATGTTACACCTATTTGTCAGTTCACAATAAGAAATTGTAAGATATGGTTAAAATATAAGCGATATAAGCAGAAGTACTTTCTCTCATATTCAAATACAAAAATTAATAAACTTAATGAAAATCAAGTCTTGATTTGTATTTAAAAGTATTCTTTGCTTAAAAATATGTAGTGTAACACAAGTATGTAGCCATATATGTTTGTTTTATTATAGGCAATACAAGGACCTGTGGAATATGAGTGATGACAAACCCTTTCTATGCACTGCCCCTGGATGTGGCCAGGTAATATATAAATTACTTTAAATCATGATGTATATTTCCATTTATTGAAATACTATAGTGTTTTCTTTAGTAATAGAATATAGTATCATTATTTTCTTACAATATTTTGTAAAATTTTAGTGGTAGAATGAAAAAAATCTAAAAAATTTTTGAGGAGAAATTCTTCTTTTTCCCCATTAGCACATCTGAGTTTTAGAAAATAGTCTAATATGGGGAGCCAGAGATATTATATCTTGTCATGGAAAGGTGAAGACACTGGATAAAACTCCAGGATGAATACTGACTGAACTCTTTTTTTTTTTTTTTTTTAAGATTTATTTATTTATTTGAAGGGCAGAGTTACAGAGAGGCAGAAGTAGAGAGAGAAGTCATCCATGTGCTCATCCACTCCTTAAGTGGCTGCAATGGCCCGAACTGCACTGATCTGATGCTATAAACCAGGTGCTTCTTCTGGGTCCCCCATGCAGGTACAGGGGCCCAAGCACTTGGGCCATCTTCCACTGCTTTCCCAGGCCATAGCAGAGAGTTGGTTTGGAAGTGGAACAGCCGGGACTCAACCAGCACCCGTATGGGATGCTAACACAGCAGGCAGCAGTTTTTCTCACTGTGCCACAGCGCCGGCCCCTACTGACTGAACTCTTAAGAAATGAGCTAATATTTGACAGTATCACTAATGTATTCACATTCTTAAATCTAACATATTTAATACAAATGTATGGAAGCAGTTTCAGAAAGCCATATTTCAGTTTTAAGACAGGCCATTAAATTATTAATCTGCCATTATAATTCTATAAAATAGTTAAAATGTCTATAAAATAACTAGACACTAAGGAAGAGTGAAAGAATTTAACATGTAGTGAAATCACTAAGTATTGGTAAGGCAATGAATCATAAGTAAGCATTAAAGTGCTTTGTTGGTTCTTGTTTATTGGTATTTTAATGAAAATATAATTGATTGAGGCCAGTGCTTTGGCATAGTGGGTTGAACCTCCACCTGAGGCTCCAGCATCCCATATGGGTGTGGGTTCGAGTCCTGGCTGCTCTTCTTTCAATCCAGCTCCCTTCTAGTGGCCTGGGAAGACAGCAGAGGATGACCCAGTTGCTTGAGCCCATGTACCCAGGTAAGAGACCTGGAAGAAGCTCCTGACTCCTGGCTTCAGTTAGGTCCAGCTCTGGCCATTGCAGCCATTTCAGGAGTGAACCAGAGGATGGAAGATTCTGTCTCTCACTCTCTTTGTCTGTAACTCTGACTCTCAAACAAATAAATCTTTTTTTTAAAAGATATAATGATATATAATAGACTGCTTATACTTATGGTATACAATTTAATAAGTTTTAATATATGTGTGTGTGTACTCATAAAACCATCACCACAGTCAAGATAGTGAACACATGCATCATCCCAAAAGTTTCCTCATTTTCATTTGTAATTCCTCTTATCCCTTCTACTCCTGGAAATCACTGATCTGCCTTCTGTCGCTGTATATTTCTTTTTGTATTCCAGAATTTTATCTAAGTAGAGTCATACAGTATGTACATATGTGTGTCTTCTTTCATACCATACAATTTCAGATCCCTCCAAGTTATATGATCAGTAGTTAATTCTCCTTGTTGGAGAATAGTATTTCAATTTTCCACATTTGTGTATCCATTCATGTGTTGGTGGACATTTGACTTAGTTCCAGTTTTTGTCAAAGCTGCTGTGAATGTTCATGTACCAGTCTTTGTATGGATGCATGCTTTCATTTCTCTTAGATTAATTCCTAGGAGTATAATGATGGGATTATATACTGGCTATATGTTTAACCTTTTAGGAAGTTATCAAACTGCTTTCCAAAATGGATATACCACTTTACTTTCTACCAACAACTTATGAGAGGTCTTATGCCCATCCTTGTCAGGATTTTTGGCCCTGTCAGCCTGTTAAATTTTAGCCATTTTCATGTGTGTAGACTGGTATTTCATTGTGGTTTTAATTGTGTTTCTTTGATGGTTAATGAAAAGGTAGGTACTTTTTTAATGTGCTAATTGGCCATTTGGTACTTTAATTTTTGTGAGATATTTTTTCAAATATTTGGCCCATTTTTTAAAAATTGAGTTGTCTTTTGAGTTGTAGGAGTTCTTTTATAGCCTGGATACTAGACCATTCTCAAATATTTTTTAAATCTGTGGTTTACATCTTAATTCTCATAAAAATATTTTTGATGAATAGATATTTCTAATTTTAAGAAGTCTAACATTAATTTTTTCCCTTTTTATGATTGCTGCTTTCTGTGACTTAAATTTTTGTCTACCCTTAGGCCACAAAGATATTTCCCTTTAGTTTTCCTAAAAGCTTGCTTTTTCATTAGGTCTCTGTTTCAGTTTGAATTAATTTTTGTTTATAGTATGAGGGAAGGGTTAAAACTGATTTTTTTTCAATATGTTTTTTCAGATTTTCCAACATGCTTTGTTGAAAAGAATTTACTTTCTTCATTAAATTGCTTTGGCAATTTTAATAAATTGCAGTTTTCAAATCTGAGACCTATTCATTCACAAATGTTTATTGATTGTCTCCAGTGACAAAGCTACATTTTGAGGTTCTCTAGTACATAAAATGAGTTTTCCTTTTAGATACTTCTAGTGTGGGATAAAAGATTTGTATATTGAGAACTGTAATACAAAATAAAAAGGCAGTAAATAGTATCAGTTAACTGGGCAGGTATGTTCATTCTTGAGTTTTGTATTCAGCAGTTTGTCGAAAGCACCACTACTTACTCCTAAATTTTGGAGGATTCACAATGATAAAAGTGATAGGAAAGTAGCACCTGAGTCGGGGAAGGGATTGGATTGTGGTCTGTGGTGCTCAGTAAATGAGAATGAATGAATGAAGAAGTAAGGGGATAGAACAGTCTCCTTTATTGGTAATACAGATGGGTTCTGAAGAAGGATAGTGATGGTCTTTTTTTGGTATGTGAACTAATATAAAGACCTAGTGATAAAAGATAGCCAATGTAAATCAAAGCTTAACTGACCTTACAGAACAGATTGGAGTGGATTCTGTCATCCCCACCGACTCATCTTTAAGAGTCAACCTTTGCCTTTTATGAAGCTCACTCTTTCAGTCAGCATTTATTGAGTATTTAGTGTATGCTAAATTTGGAGGAACACAGTAGGAGCTGGCCTGCTTGAAAGGATAGGCATGAAAATATCAGTAATACTGTGATGGGTGCTGTAACTAAGGTCTTACACAGAGTGTAATAGAGTACAAAAGAGGGAGTTTTAACTTTATAGACTGGAGGTTAGAGTAAAAAAATACTGCATTCTTTTACATTGTTTAAGGTTTCCTAAAAATTATTGTTAGTTGCATGAAAGGATGTGGAATAGGAGTCACAAGAGAAGAAACAAATGTTGATAGTTTTGGTGAACAAAGTTCACATATATACATTTTTAATCTTCCCATTGGTAAGATTATAAACTAAAGAATGAGTTTAGATCTCTTAATTTATCATTTTTAAATTATTGCTTTAAGATAAATAAGCACTCTCTATTTTCATTTATAAATATTGCTTAACAAGGAACATCTTCATAAAGGTTGATGTCCAGACATGGGAGATAACAGTTTATGTGTGTTGTAATCATAGATGCCACCTTTGGCATGCAGGACTTACCCAAATTACAGGTAGAAAGAAAACATGTTAGAGGCTGGTGCTGTGGTATACTGGGTTAAGCTGACTTCTGCAACACCAGTTTGAGTCCTTGCTGTTCCACTTCTTAGCCAGCTCCCTGCTAAAGCACTTGGGAGAGCAGTGGAAGATGACCCAAGTGCTTGGGCCCCTTACACCCATATGTAAGAGACCTGAAAGAAGCTCCTGGCTCCTGGCTATTGCAGCCATTTAGAAAATGAACCAGCACTGGAAGATCTACCTCTGTCTCTCCCTCTCTTTCTATAAACCTGCCTTTCAAATAAATAAATAAATCTTCTTTTTTAAAAAAAGGTTAGATAACTTTAAAAATAATTTTACTGACTGAGCTTCTGCCCCTGCCCCTGGCATCCTGTATGAGTGATAGTTCTGGTCCCTGCTACTCCGCTTCCTATCTAGCTTCCTTTAATGCACCTGGGAGGGTAGGAGAAGATGGATGGCCCAAGTGCTTGAGTCCCTGGCTTCTATGTAGGAGACTGGGATAGTGTTCCTGACTCCTGGTTTCAGCCTGTCTCAGTCCTGGATGGTGTGGCCATTTGGGGAATGAACCAGCAAATGGAAGATCATTCCCTGTCTCTCCCTGTCACTCTACCTTGCAAATAAATAAATCTTTTAAAAATAATAGTTTTATTTTCTTAGAACTGTGATAGAAAAGGCACTCAGACTTTAAGTTAAACATTTTATTTTAAAGTGGACTGCTTTATTTTTGGTTGCTATTCCTTTATTGGATTATAACAGAAATTTTAAGAAATTTTTCATTTAGTAATATGGTAAGTAAGCTTAAGTCTAGGTAAATAGAGTACTTAAAATCATTGTACCATGGAGTATCTATTTCTACTATTATATGACAAAAACTTAATAGTGGTCTGTTTTTAATTTTAATTTTAATTTTTTTCATTTTTAACAGGTTCAATATAATTCAGAAATACAATTCTAAGAATATAATGATATTCTTTCTCTCTCCCTCCTCTCACTCCTTTTCCCTTTCTCTCCTTTTCTCTTCACTTTTGAGATAATGTATATTTAATTTACATTACAATCAAGGGCTTAATGCTAGTGGTGTGTTTTTAGTATCCAAATTAAATTTACATAGTTTCTTTGCCTAAGATTTTATTTTTAAATCAGTTATGTGACCTAATCATATTGTGTATTCTTGGGTAATGGGTTTCTCTATGATTATTTGAAGTCTGGTATGTTTATACTAACAATAATAAATTCTTTTATAGTTTAAAAACTGCTATTTCACTGTTAATGGTGGTTTTACATGTTGTGGAAATGAATTTCCTTATCATTTTAATTATTTGATCAAATTGAAAATCTTAACTGTATCTTAAAATTTTTGCCACAGCGTTTTACCAACGAGGATCATTTGGCTGTCCATAAACATAAACATGAGATGACACTGAAATTTGGTCCAGCACGTAATGACAGTGTCATTGTGGCTGGTTAGTATATGCTTTTATTAATAGCTTATATACATATTTCACCTGGAATGTGCACAATTTTTGTGTATTCTCTGTAAATAATATAATCTGGTGATATTCCAATGACTTCATTTACAATAAATGTTGGCAACATGTATTTTACCCATTACATTTCCATGTTTCCTTCTGACCATTCATTTCACATTTTGTGTGATTTTCAAGTAGAGATTTCAATGTCAGTTTCATGGAAGTTAATTAGAACTCTGGGAACATCATTCATACCATTTACAAAATTTACGTTTTTCTTACAATTGAACTAATATATTTAGTCAACGTTTCTTTTAGCTGTCTTGGCACCTGATTTACAAGGCTGTGTGAAGACAGAAAAGGATGAAGCTCCTCCTGTTGGAGAGCAAGACCTAGCAAATTTCCGGATTAGAATTTTTTTTTTTTCCAAACAAAACATTTGTCTTAGTAAAATACTCGTAAGGGGTCCTGAATTCATTAGGTGCTTTTTTTCGTGTGTGTTGACCCTACATACATACAGTATTATGTAAGCAATTATTTTTCATATTATGTGAAAAGAGAAACCCAATTCATGCATTGATTTATTCATTTCATGCTATATTAGCTAGTTATTTCAGTATATATACACACACACATCTGTGTATATACAAAATATGAATAATTTTACTATATGTATTTTATAAGGATTATGATATAAAACATTTAATATAAATTTTAGACACTTTTCTATCACAGTCACATAAATTTGCATTTCAGATACTCAAATTAACTCTAGATTCTTCTTTCTTGCACACCTTAGGTTATACTATTTGTAAGTCTGGAATTATGTCCGAAAACTTAGTAATATTAGTACTTTTAAACAACTAGTATATACATCAAATTATCATATGCAATGTTTTGCATAGGTAACACAGCAAATATTGGTTGATTTTCCTGTACTTTCAGTATCAAAAGGTTGTAATGAAATGGGGAATAACAAAAAGTAGTCAATCTATCAGAGATAATTTATGTAGGAAAGATATAGGGAATTTCAGTAGGTCTTCAGTTCCATAAATGAAAGGAAGTGTAGAAGAATGAATAATGCATTTCTTTAGTCTTCTGTGCATCAGATAATAAGACCTAGAACAACAAAAAAAAATAAAAACAAGCTGAAAAGTTCACTTTCCTAGGCATGAAGATCTTTGTTTCTGTGAAACTTAATGTCTTAAAGCAATCTCTCTAATATTTTAACTCAAAAAGTGTTTTGAAGTTGGTTTCTAGAAATTATTTTCCTGTTTGTATTTAATGGAATAGAAAAATACAACACGTTCAAACACAGCATTTGACCATTTTTTTACTGACATGTTGAACAGTTTATATTGCTTTGTAACACATGATGTGTGTGGTATATATCTGATGATCAGTAGCCATATGCAATCTGCATGTTACACAGTTGTGTCTATGTTGGCTTTACTTAAGTCTAACAGTCCCAGTAGTCATTAATGAAAGTGATCTATGCTTATGCATTTCAAGACTTTTCTCTCCCTGAGTTGTGAGCTTTCTAAAGAGCTTAGATAGGCAAACCTTTTGGGTATTAGAAGAGTTAAATTTATGTTTGACTTATTAATTCAGTCATGAGGGACTTAAGCTGATACATGTACATGAAGCCTTCAATGTAGCATGATTTTGGAGATAAGAGTAGGGTATAGGTTAAAGATTATACTGATAGGCAGTAATTTGATATGATTAATAGTGACCAAGATAGGCCTGCAGTATGTCTAATGTGTATGACAAATGGGTTATTTTGATGTTGAATATATTTATGTGTAGAAAAAATATTAATACACTTTGTGTATGTTAGGGGGAAAGGTAAAATAGTAATTACCATTGTGAAACACAATAGTTAATAAATATTTGAATTTAATTTCATAAAAGAGCTCTTAATAGATTACTTTTATTTAGCTTAGGTGAAATCCTTAAAATAACTTATAAAATTCATGCCCTAAAGTAGATAAAATACTAACAAAGTTTGAATATGCTACCAATTATAATCAACATAAATAAACAGCATTGGGGACAATACAACTAAATGAGCAAAATTTACTATCTTTCATTCAACCTAGACTTTAACTGACATTTGTTCTGTAGATATATATATATATATATATATGTAAACAACATAAGCTGCAAATTTAAGTATAGCTAAAATATTTGAAGTTGTAAAAAAAGTAGTTATTTTATTTGCCTAGAAATTAAGCTAGAACGTTAAGACCAAGCTTATAAAATATGCTAAAGTTGAACAATCAGCTTTAGTAGATAGTAATAAGGAGTTTGTTTTGTTTTCAGGACTTTTCACTTTCTTTTTCTTCTTTGTGGTATTTTAATCTACCTACTAAAGATACTGTTTTAATTTAAGCTTGCTTTCAAAATACATTATGAACAGCTAGTGGAAGTGCCAAGTTAAAATAAATATACATGCTCTTATCCTAGTTTTACCCAAAATGCATGTATTGAGATTATAATAATTTTTAGTAATGTAAGTTTTTTTTAAAAGTTCTTATCACTGTGTTAGATAATGATAATAGTTTATCTCTTGCGTAGAAGATGTTCATGCCACTCAAGGGAGAGTGAAGGGGTGGACAAAGGAGCAAAAGACTTCTTTCATCCTTTATGGTTCCCAAAGTTGGAGGAAATACCTGGAAGTGCAACAGAAACTTAACCAGATTTTGTTTGCTTTAAAGGAAGAGGTCTTTCCAAAGAGAGAATTAACAACTGTGACTGAACCAGTCCTTCTAATTTGTTAACTTATTGCTATATTTTAGAATCTTAATATGGTATACAATATTTAAGTCTGTGTGATTACTTCTTGACTTTATTTCAGATCAGACCCCAACTCCAACAAGATTCTTGAAAAACTGTGAAGAAGTGGGTTTGTTTAATGAGTTGGCAAGTCCATTTGAGAATGAATTCAAGAAAGCTTCAGAAGACGACATTAAAAAAGTACGTTGTTAATCGTAAAATTAAGAGAAGAGTACTTTTGATAGAAAAAATATTGCTAGCTTATACTTCATACTTTCTAATGGCCTACATTTGAACTTGTGACATTTTCTTTATTTATTGTTTACATTTTAGATGCCTCTAGATTTATCCCCTCTTGCAACACCCATCATAAGAAGTAAAATTGAGGAGCCTTCTGTTGTAGAAACAACTCACCAGGATAGTCCTTTACCTCACCCAGAGTCTACTACCAGTGATGAAAAGGTTAGAATGTTATATTTGTGATAGCATATAAGCTAAGGAGGAAAAAGTTGGTACCCCAAGTAAAGTTTAATTTTTAATGTGTAAAAGCCTCTGACTAGCCAAATATTTCAGGGAAAGAAGATTCCTTCTTTATTCAGGGCTGGGGAGCATTTTTTTCTGCCAAGGTCCATTTGGCTATTATAACATCATTTGTGGGCCATATAAAATTATCAACTTAAAAATCAGCCTGCTGTAGATTTATTGAATTTTGAGTACCACCTGTGGTTGCCTTGGCAGGGCCAGACCAAATGATTTCACAGGTCTTGTATGGCCCACAGACTGTATGTTTCCCACCCCATTAATACATAATCAACTTAAACACAGAGAAATTATAGGGGAGAATAAGAGTCATTTTAGATAAAACTTACTTTAAGAGGGAAATGTAAATTTACCATTTAATGTGGTTTTTCTGTATTTTGTTGGTTAGTTACCTTTAGATGAGGGCACTTCAGTAAGTTTATGGAAAAAAGTTTATTTTGGTGAAAAAGAACTTTCAAATCCATGCATAGTTTTTTCATAGCATACATTTTCATGAATTTTTTTCTGGTATCCATGGTATCCCAAGAATTTCAGATCAGCAGCTTAATTAAGAAATCTGTACAACTAGTAACTTGTATGAGCAATGATTATTTAGGCTTTCAAAGGATAAAGAACTAGTTATTCTCAGCAGTGGATCTTGGTTAGCAGCAACCATGATGATGATAGCATCTGGAATACCCTGGTAATAACTTGGACCCCCCTGGCCTATGCTTGTGCTACTACTTGATTACTTGTTTGTTCATAAGCACATAGAATGAACACTTACTTATTTGGGAGCACCATGTGGTGCACAGAGGAAGAGATGATGTGACATAAAAAAGAGAATGGCAATATTCTCTTTTACATTATGTTATTCGAAAACTGTAATTTATTGGACCTTACCTACTATATCAGAAGTTACCAATTAGGAAATATAGTCATATGTCAGAGAACAAAATGGACATGTTTTGAGAAATGCATCAGTTGGTAACTTTGTTAGTGTGTGAATATCACAGAGTATACCTGCAGAAGCCTACACGTATAGGCTATGTGGTGGTTTAGCCTACACATATAAGGTATGTAGTACAGCCTGTTGCTTCTAGGATAAAACCCAGATGTATTATAACTAATAGTATAGGCGGTTGTAACACAATGGCAAGTTTTTGTGTATCTAAACATGGAAATGGTACAGTAAAATATGATATAAAAGATTTTTGAAGTGGTACACCTGTTTAGGACACTTACTGTGAGTGGAGTTTGTGGGACTGGAAGTTGCCCTGGTGAGTCAGTGAGTGGTGAGTGAATGTGAAAGCATAGGACATTGCTGTACACTACTGTGTATACTTATGCTACACTAAACTTACAGTTTAAAATCATTTTTGGGGGCCAGCATTGTGGCATAGCAGGTAAAGCTGCTGCCTACAACGCTGGCATCACAAATGGGCACTAGTTCGAGCAGCACTAGGGCTGCTCCACTTCTGATCCAGCTCCCTGCTAATGCACCTGGTAAAACAACAGAACATACCCTAAGACTTGGGCCCCTGCCACCCACGTGGGAGACCAGATACAGCTCCTGTATCCTGGCTTTGGTCTGGCCCCTCCCTGGCCATTGTGGCCAAATTGGTACATGAACCCTGGGGATGGAAGATCTATCTCTCCCCATCTCTTTTCCTTTCTCTGTAACTCTACCTTTCAAATAAAATGAAATTTTTTTTTTCTTTAGTAAATGAACCTTGGCCTACTGTAGTTTTCTACTTTATGAACTTCTTGATTTTTTTTAACTTTTTTACTCTTTTCTAATAACAGCATGAAATACACAGTATATAATTAAATATTTTTATATCCTTATTCTATAAGCTTTATTTTATTATTGTTGTTGTCATGATTACTTTACTTGCTCAACTTTTTTGTTAGAACACACATACATTAGCCTAGGCCTCCACTATATCAGAATCATTAATATCACTCTCTTCCACCTCCACATCTTATCCCTTTAGGCACAGTAACAGAGTTGTCATCTCCTATGATGATAACAGTGTCTTCTGTCTGAAGTAACTTTTCATCTAGGAATAAATGCTTTGATCTTAGTTTTTTTTTTTTTCCAGTTCTTTTCATTTTCCTTTTCTGATTTTGAAATTATATCCTCATAAAAACTTGAGGAATGCAGAAAAATGAGCTGGCAGGTTTTGTGACATATCAGGTTAAGCCAGCACTTGGGACTACATTACATATTGGAGAACCTGTTTTGAGTACCAGCTATTCTGCTTCCAAACCATCTTCCTGCTAAAGCATCTACAAGGCAGCAGATGATGACTTAACTATTTGAGTCCCTGCAACCCACATGGAAAACCCAAATGGAGTTTCAAGCCACTAGCATCTGCCTGGACCAACCTCAGCTGTTGCAGGCATTTTTCATAGTTGTACTTTATCTCATCAGTATCTTAATGTATTTCATTATTTTGTTTATTTTGGATATTAAGTTTTTTTCCACATTATTACAGTTATTAAAAATGTTAAATCTTGGAGATCTTCTTAGAAAACATTCCAGTCCCCTCACACTTAGCAATTTCTCACTGTTCATGGCTGCTTCAGCATCTTTTAGATGTATTCCTACTTCCTACATTCTTTAGTCATTGACTCCCTTTGGGTAGGTCATAGCTATACCAAGTTGTAAAAAAAATCAGTTCTTACCCTTCTTGCCCAACCAGACCCAAAACTTAAATACATCTCTATACTGATAACTCTCAAATTTATACCAATTCCATCTTGATGTTTCTATATTTAATAGACTTCTTAAACTTTATACATCTGTGTCAAAGCCCGTGATTCATCCTCAGTTTTCCCCATCTCAGTAGATTTTCTTTACCAATCTAGTTGCTCAAACCAAGAATTTAGGGATCGTCCTAATTCTTCTTTTTTTTTTCCACACTGAAAACAACAGCAGATCTTACTGGACCTACTTCCAGAATATATCTTAGATTTTGTTTTCTTCTATTTGTGTTCAGTGTCACCATTTTAAGCATCATCTTTTACTTCCTGCTTCCATCGCCTTTGCCATTTTAAAGATAATTCACATGCTTTAGCATCTGCCCTCTTTGATCTGTATTATCTGCCCACACATTCTCACTTCATGCCACTCTGTTGAGTTTTTTTGTTTGTTTGTTTGTTTTGACAGGCAGAGTGGACAGTGAGAGAGAGAAACAGAGAGAAAGGTCTTCCTTTTTCCGTTGGTTCACCCCCTAATGGCCACTGCGGCTGGCGCACCACGCTGAGCCGAAGGCAGGAGCCAGGTGCTTCTCCCGGTCTCCCATGCGGGTGCAGGGCCCAAGGACCTGGGCCATCCTCCACTGCACTCCCGGGCCACAGCAGAGAGCTGGACTGGAAGAGGTACAACCGGGACAGAATCTGGTGCCCCGACCAGGACTAGAACCCGGGGTGCTGGCGCCGCAGGCGGAGGATTAGCCTAGTGAGCTGTGGCGCTGGCCAGCCACTCTGTTGAGTTTATCAAATACTACTATATTTTTCCTGCCTCAAGACATCATATGTAGTATTTTCTTCAGCTTGGAATATGTTACTCCTTATCCTTTTAGTATTGATTTAAATGCCATTTGTGCAAAGAGATGCTCACCTTCCCTCACTGTTTCATCTAATATCGCCAACTCTACCTAATCCTCAGTAATCTTTCACTGTTTTACTGTATTACATTTATTATTCTGTAATACTTAATACTTGTTATAATCTGATATATTCTTGTTTATTTCTTGTTCATTGTCTCTATCTTCCTGAAGCTTGTCCTTCAGGATATAAGTTCTCAAACTTGTTGAATAAATGAAGTCATTAAAGGACTAATTTATCCTTCTGGTATAGCTTAATAAAATTCTAAAATAAGTGACAGCATAAAGGCCAATTCAAAAAGAACACAGTAGGACCCATTTTTTATAGTAACTGGTTAAGGAGTTCTGTATAAGGCACTTAATCTCTATGTTTCCTAACCTGTTAAGCTGAAGTGAGATGGGAAAGATCATCTTTACAGTCCTGGCTGCATCATAAGTTCCAGCTCCCTTTGATTTGGAAAGTTCACTCCAGTAATTATTTTGTATTCAAGGTATCAGTATTACTTGGCCTTTTGTTATTGAAGTTTTTGATATAGGAAAGATGGCCTAAGATTAGTTAATAGTTTAACATTTCCATTGTTGAATTTGTATTAATCATAGCGAAATTTCTCTGGACCTGTTTTCTTTTTGTACAGTAAAATGAGGAAGTAGACTTAGGTGTTCCCTTATAGATTTTAAAGTTTTCTAATTCTTGAGAGTGGATTGTGTTTTTACTTTTTTACTAAAATTCTCTTGGAATTATAGCCAAATTGTCCAACCTGACTTACTTCTGAATTGACATGAAAATAAGTTTTACTGAAAAAAACGCTGAGGTTTTTAAAAATTAATTGAACATTGCCTGTGAACCTTTACAACTACTTCTAAAATTTCTTTTTAGTTCACTTGAGATACTAATTTGAGAGGTTAAGCATTACCCTATGAATGTGTTTGCAAGTGTGTTATGTTCTGTTCACTAAGGTACATGCATTAATTGCATTTTAAATTCTACGCTTTTTGTTATGTCTTTATTAAATAGGAGGTACCATTGGCACAAACTGCACAGCCCACATCAGCTATTGTTCGTCCAGCATCATTACAGGTTCCCAATGTGCTGCTTACAAGTTCTGATTCAAGTGTAATTATTCAGCAGGCAGTACCTTCACCAACCTCAAGTACTGTAATCACCCAGGCACCATCCTCCAATAGGCCAATTGTGTAAGTGATTAAGCCCAGTCATTGAACTGTGTATGAATTAAGTTTTTCTTGTTACGATTTTTCCTAAGATAGCTGATTTAAGATGATTTTTTATATTTTCATGCTCTTTAAGGCAAAACATATAAAATTATTCTATTACCAGATGACACTTCTTTCAGTTCTTAAATGCAGCTAGTTCTCAGGGCCCACCAGCATTGTGATATAGCAGGTTAAACTGCCACTTAGGATGCCAGCATCCCGTATTACAGTTTGAGTCCCAAATACTCCACTTCCCATCCAGCTTTGTTGCCTAGGAAGGCAACAAAAGATGGCCCAAGTGCTTGGGCCCCTGCCACCCATGTGGGAGTATCTGGATGGCATTCCTGACTCCGGCTTTGGCCTAGCCCAGCCCTGGCTGCTGTGGCCATTTGGAGAGTTAGCCGATGGATAATGGTCTGGGGACTGGCATTGTACCCTCGCAGATAAAGCTGCTGCCTGTAGCACCAGCATCCCATATAGGTGCCAGTTAAAGTTCTGGCTGCTTCACTTCCAGTCTAGCTCCCTGCTAATGGCCTGAGAAAGCAGTGGGAAGATGGCCCAAATCCTTGGACCCCTGCACCCATGTGAGAGACCTGGAGGAAGCTTCTGGCTCCTGGATTTGGTCTTGCCCAGCTATGGCTGTTGTGGCCATCTGGGTGGAGAGTAGGCCAGCAGATGGAAAATCTCTGTCTCTCCCTGACTCTCTGCGTAACTCTTTCAAATAAAATAAATCTTTAAAAAACATATTTAAAGATAATTTTATTTCTGAAGTTTACAGTGCTTAAGAAATTTATTAATATTGTAATAATAGAAGTAAAAATACTATTGTATTTTTAAGTGATGGTTTCTTTGAATCTGTTTAATTTCATTTCTTTTGTTCTTCATAGTCCTGTGCCAGGCCCATTTCCTCTTCTATTGCATCTTCCTAATGGACAAACCATGCCTGTTGCTATTCCTGCATCAATTACAAGTTCTAATGTACATGTTCCAGCTGCAGTCCCAGTAAGTTACAAATTTAGACTATAGTAGATCTGGTCTGTATAAAGTAATCAGAAAATAGAGTTGAAGCTGCTGGACTGACTTATGAAAACTGAATTTAAGAAAGTACATAATAGTGGTAAGTAGTGTTTATTCATTGATATTTATGGTAATAACATCTACCATTCAGTGCAAACATAATTAAATAAACTATTTTCCTCTCCCAACAATCTTGTTTTCCTTACTTTTTACACTATGAACTTTATTCCTTATTTACCCCATTTCTATTTGACTGAATTTGTAAAATTCAAATAGTACTAGAACACTTGTCAGGTAACTTTGGTATTTCAGTTAATTTAGAAATTCTTTATAAAAACACAATCTTTGATCTTTGATGGTCAAGTTCAGTTAACAGATTTACTTTGATGGCCCATGCATTCTTAAGAACATTCTGAACATTTGCGGTACAGACGTTTGCAGTGGTTAAGATGCCAGAATGAATGTATTCAGGCCCCACTCCATTTCTAATAGCTTTCTGTTAATGTTCACTCTGAGAGGCAGCAGATGATGGCTCAAGTACTTGGGTCCCTGTCACCCATGTGGAAGACCCAAATAGAGTACTTAGGCTCCTGGCTTTGGTCTGGCCCAGAGCTGGCTGTTGTGTGCATTTGGTGATGAACCATCAAGATGAAAGATCTGTTTCTGTTTTTCTGTCACTCTGCCTTTAAAATAAATAAAACAAATAAATTTTAGCATTCTAAAGTAATAAGTCTCCCATTTTCTTAATGAGAAGATCCAAAAGAAAAGTTTTGTAAGGGCAAGTCAAATATATATAAAATTTGAAAGACATAGACAATTAAATATCTAGTTATTGTATTTTTTTGTTTTTAGATTTTATTTTTTTATTTGAGAGGTAGAGTTACAGTGAGAAGGAGAGACAGAAAGGTCTTTCTTGTGCCAGTTCACTCCCTAAATGGCATCAATGGCCGGAGCTGCATCGATCCGAAGCCAGGAGCCAGGAGCTTCTTCTGAATCTCCCACATGGGTGCAAGGGCCCAAGGATTTGGACCATCTTCCACTGCTATCCCAGGCCATAGCAGAAAACTGGATTGAAAGAGGAACAGCCGGGACTAGAACCAGCACTCATATGGGATGCCTGTGCTGCAGGCAGAAGATTAACCTACTGTGCCACAGTGCCAACCCCTAGTTATAGTACTTAGTAGATTATAAAATATTTAAAAACACATTGTTTAGGACAGGCGTTTGGCTTAGTAGTTAAGGTACCACTTGAGATGCCTACATACAGAATCAGAGTAACTAGGTTCAAGTCCCAGCTCTGCTGCCAATTCCAGCTTCCTGATGATGCACATTCTGGGAGGCAGCAGGTGATGGTTCAACTAGTTGGGTCCCTGCAACCCATATGGGAGCCCAGTGGAGTTCCTGGCTCCTGACTTTAGCCTGGCCCAATCTTGGTTATGGCAGGCATTTGAAGAGTGAACCAGAGGATGACAGATCTCTCTGTCTCCTTCCCTCTCTCTCTGACTTCTGCCTTTCAAATAAATAAATAAATAACATTGGTTAGAATAATAAAAATGAGAAATATGCCTTTTTTCCCAACTTTCACATGTGAATTCATGAAAACAGTTTTATTCAAACTTTTCAAAGGTGTCTTTCAGCATTTCAGATTTTCATCTGAGAACCGCTTTTTGACCCATCTAGCACAGTTTTCCAGAACACAGTTTACTTCTTCATCTAAATTATTTATGACATGACAGCTTTTAATCTTTGTATTATTCTCTTCCTGGAAATCTTACTCTAAGCCTTAGGTATTTATTTATGTATGTATGTATTTTAAATATTTATTTTTAATTATTTGAAAGACAGAGTTACAGAGAGATAGATACAGAGAGAGAGGATTTCCATCCGCTGGTTCACTCCCCAGATGGCTGCAATGGCCAGAATTGTGCCAATCCAAATCCAAAGCCAGGAGCCAAGAGCTTCTTCTGTGTCTCCCATGTGGATGCAGGGGCCCAAGGACTTGAACCATCTTCTCCTGCTTTCCCAGGCCAGCTGGATTAGAAGTGGAGCAGCTGGGACTTGAACCAGCATCCATATGGGATGCCAGCGCTTCAGGCCCGGGCTTTAACCCGCTGTGCCACGGTGCTGGCCCCAGCCTTAGATATTTAGATAATACAAAAGTAACTTTTTTTCTTCTTGATACATATCATTGACCAGTGTATGATAATCACCTGTAGTTTTTTGAGATTATTTTTAAAAATCTACTTTAACACTTTTGGTTAGATTTTTGCCCCCAACAATATTTCTAAGAACAAGTGTTCACTTTTTTTTTTTTTTTTTTTTTTTTTTTTTTTTGGACAGGCAGAGTGGACAGTGAGAGAGACAGAGAGAAAGGTCTTCCTTTACCGTTGGTTCACCCCCCAATGGCCGCTGCGGCCGGCGCGCTGCACTGTCCGAAGCCAGGAGCCAGGTACTTCTCCTGGTCTCCCATGGGGTGCAGGGCTCAAGCACTTGGGTCATCCTCCACTGCACTCCCTGGCCACAGCAGAGAGCTGGCCTGGAAGAGGGGCAACCGGGACAGAATCCGGCACCCCGACTGGGACTAGAACCCGGCCAGCGCTGCAGGCAGAGGATTAGCCTAGTGAGCCGTGGCGCCGGCCAGTGTTCACTTTTTTAAATTTACTAATTATTCTAAGTGATCTAAATATCCAAAATTAACATTGATTGGGGTAATTTTAGATAATGTACCCTTTTCACATAGAACTTTGTTGTACAAAATACACTATTTCAAAGATTTTTTTAAAGACTTAAAGGGTGTCTGCTGCTTAATTTTTGAGGGAGAGAATGTTATTACCATGTATTTGAGATTGTTTGGTTATCCTTAAGTTGCACCTGTGATGAAAGCAACTTGACCTGATATAATTTACTTATAATAACTGTTCTCTCAGTATAAAAAAGGCAAAAACAAAAGTGGCAAATTATTAGACTTTATCTGTGTTCAGTATATTAATATATCAAAGAACTTTATATATTTTACAAACTTTATTTTTGAAAAAGCAGAATTGTGTAATTTTATATATCATTGACACAACTTTTAACATTCTTTCAAATTGCCAGCGCTGTGGCTCACTAGACTAATCCTCCGCCTTGCGGCACCGGCACACCGGGTTCTAGTCCCGGTTGGGGCACCAGATTCTGTCCTGGTTGCCCCTCTTCCAGGCCAGCTTTCTGCTGTGGCCAGGGAGTGCAGTGGAGGATGGTCCAAGTGCTTGGGCCCTGCACCCCATGGGAGACCAGGAGAAGCACCTGGCTCCTGCCTTCGGATCAGCGCGGTGCACCGGCCGCAGCGCACCAGCCGTGGCGGCCATTGGAGGGTGAACCAACGGCAAAGGAAGACCTTTCTCTCCGTCTCTCTCTCTCACTATCCACTCTGCCTGTCAAACAAAACAAAACAAAACAAACATTCTTTCAAATTCAAAATAGAAGTGTGACAAATCTGAGAAATTTCACATTGATCTTTTTGACTATTATGATATTCTAAAAAGGACTATTGAGAAGCAAAATTATGAGAATGAAAGATCGGCTCAGTACATGTCTCAGAGAAATTAACAGCTTTTGAAGGATAAATCAGGATGTAAAGTCAGTAAAAGTGTGACGTAGATATATAATCAGGCAGAAATAAATTTATAATGTTCTGTTATAAAGTCTTCAGTTATTATAACAACCATTGAACAAATGAAGTACAAATCTTATTTTGAAAATATTCTCCAGCAATTCTCTTTTAATTTCCTTTGCATAGCTTGTTCGACCAGTCACCATGGTGCCTAGTGTTCCAGGAATCCCAGGTCCTTCTTCCCCTCAACCAGTGCAGTCAGAAGCAAAAATGGTAAGCAGGATTTTGTTTGTTCTGTTTTGAATGTTTTTTTTTTTCATGAACAGCTGCTTAAAACACAGTTTACATTGCATTTTATAAAGTTATGAACTCTTACTATTCTTATTATGCTGTAGAAGAAAGACAAAAATTGGCAAAGGAAAGCTTCCAGTTAGCATAGTTAGTAAGTACCACTTGTTAATGGTTCTTAAATAAATAGGGTGGATTGGGAGTAAAGTTTGCATTCTTGTGGCTTGTGATTTACCTGGTTCGTTACTGTAGCTTTTTACACAAGCTCTTTCTCCTCCTGGTGGAAGCTAGGAGTATTACAGCTGAAGCTAGATTTCATCTTCTGAAAGTAGTACTGAAATAAGTGATTGTATAGTTTTTTTAAAACTTGGAAATAGGACACAAGTTAGCAGGCGTTGTACATGGTACATAAAATGAAAACTATATATTTCTGTTCTTCTTCAAAAACATTAAGAAGTTAGTGTTGCTTGAAGAAATGAGCTATAGTAGGAATGGAGAGACATTTACTTTTTTTTTAAGATTTATTTTTTTATATGAAAGATGGAATTACAGAGAGGCAGAGACAGCAAGAGAGATCTGTCCGCAGGTTCACTACCCAAATGGCCGCAACAGCCAGAGCTGGTCCAATCTAAAGCCAGGAGCTTCTTTTGGGTCTCCCACACAGGTGCAGGGGCCTAAGGACTTAGGCCATCTTCCACTGCTTTCCCAGGCTATAGCAGAGAGCTGGATCAGAAGTGGAGCAACCAAGTCTCAAACCAGCGCCCACATAGGATGCTGGCACTGCAGGCAGTGGCTTTTACCTGGTATGCCACAGCACTAACCCAGACAAGTACTATATGGGTGCAGGTTCCTGTCCCAGCTACTCCTCTTCTGATCTAGCTCTCTGTTATGGCCTGGGAAAGCATTGGAAGATGGCCCAAGTCCTTGGGTCCCTGTACCTGCGTGGGAGATCCGGAAGAAGCTCCTGGCTACTGGCTTTGGATTGGCCCAGCTCGGGCTATTGGAGCCATTTGGGAGTGGACCAGCAGATGGAAGACCTTTCTCTCTGTCTCCCCCTCTCTCTATCTATAACTCTACCTCCGAGATGAAATAAAATCTTAAAAAAAAAAAAAAAAAAAAAAGTAGAACAGCTGGGACTCAAACCAGTGCACATATGGGGTGACAGCACTCTAGGCAGCAGCTTCATGCACTACACCACAGCACTAGCCCCAATTTTTGTTTTTTAAGTTTTATTTATTAATGTGAAAATCAGAGTTGCAGAAAGAGAGTAAGAGATGGAGAGAGAGGTCTCCCATTCGTTGGTTCACTACCCAGATGGCACAACAGCCAGGGCAAAGCCAGGAGCCAGGAATTTCTTCAGGTCTCCCACATTGTTTCAGGGAACTAACCACTTGGGCCATCTTCTGCTCCCTTTCCCAAGTGCTTTAGCAGGGAATTGGATCAGAAGAGGAGCAGCCAGGTCTCAAACTGCACCCGTATGAGATGCCAGCATCGCAGGCAGTGGCTTTACCCACTACAGCACAATGTCAGCCCCCGATTGTTGATTATGGTCAGAGAAGGACATTAAAACCCAAGGGGGTAGAGGTGGGCTTCAGGCATTTGGCCTAGCATTTAGGATGCCCACATCCTATATCTGATTGCCTGAGTTCAACATCCAGCTCCGTTTGGCTCCTTACTACAGTGTCCTTTTAATGCGTACTCTGGGAGGTAATGGTGATAACTCAAATGACTTGGTTCCTACCACTCACATGAGAGACCTGAACAGAATTCCTGGCTCCAGTTCTGTCCCAGCCCAAGCCACAGTAAGTATTTGAAGATGAGAGCTCTTCCTCTCGGTCTTTCTCAAATAAATAAATACAGTTTTAAACATTTACTTATTTATTTTCATCTACTTGAAAGGCAGAGTGATAGAGAGAATAAGAATTTTAAGAGGATGGGCAGATACAGAGATTGCAGTGCCCTTGGAACATCTGCATCCCATATTAAGAGTGCCTGCCTTCAAGTCCTGGCTTCACTTCCAATTCTAGCTTCCTGCTATTGCACACCCTAGGAGGCAACAGGTGGTGCCTCAAGTGCTTGAGTCCCTGCCACCCACGTGGGAGACTCAAATTGAGTTCCAGGCTCCTGGCTTCAGCTTGGCCCAGCCCCAGTTGTTGTGGGTAGATGAGAAGTGAGCCAACAAATGGAAGATCTGTGTTTCTTTCTCTGTGATTTTATCTCTCTGCCTTTCATATAAGCATATAGATAGAGGTGACAATACAATAAAAAGAAGAAAAAAAGGCCCAGGGGGGAAACTTTTCATATCATTGCACTTTGGGTCAGAGCTTTAGAAAAAATAAGGTGAATCTTCTTTATCTGAAAGCAGACAAACTTTATTGCATTTTTTATTACTTTCTATTAAAACATACTGATTAATGAAAAACGCAATCTGCCATAAAGTGAGAATGGAATAAGCAGAAATATAAAAAGATCCTCTTTTTACATAGTCAGTGGACTTCTTAAAAATTAATTCAAAAGAAACAAATCCAATTTAGGTAATACTTTGGGCTCCAAGAGTAGACTGTACTTCTATAAACCATTAAACTTAACACTAACCAGAATAATTTTTAGGCTACCAGGAAATTCAGTTAAAAAGAATAAACATGATAGAATATTTGCATATTTAAAATAGTAAAGCAGTAATTTTCATAAGTTTATATATGAAAAACAATCATTGGTTAAAGACCCACAAATAGCATGGAGAGTCACAGATTGCCCCACTTAAATTTAACAATCCAATTACATTTCTTATTAGAATTTTGCCAGTATAAAATAGCTGTATTAAGTGATTGCCTATTTTAATTCATATAATAAATAAGAATGTCCAGTTCTGATTAAATAAAAACTGAAAGTATGCTACCTTTTTTTAAACTTTTCATCACGAAAATTTTCATATATGAAGTAAACAGGATAATAACTCCCATGTACCCATTATCTGGCTACAATTTTTGGCAGTAAACTGGTATCCTTGTTTTATCTATTCAGTCCACTCCCAAACCCTAATTAAGTTATTTTCATAGAACTTTCCTTGTGAAAATTTATATATATTGAAATTAACCACTTATAACTGTGCAGTTTTTAAAAACAACTGAATTCCTATAACATCTACTGCTATTACCTGTAATATTAACATCTACCCAGAAGTTTTCTCTGTCCTTCTCTCCAACCTGCTCTGATATTTGTCTCCACAGATTATTCTAGGGTTTCATATAAATGGGCTCAGAATGTAGTCTTTTGTGTCCAGCTCTGAGATTTACTCATATTGTTAGTTGTATAATAGTTTGCTGCTTTTAATGAGGAGTGGTATTTCATTGTGTGACTATACCACAGTTTATTTATTCTCCTACTGATGAACACTTGAGTGCTTTCCAGTGTTTAGCTGTTGTGAATAAAGCCAGTGTGTACATTCTTCTGCAACTTTGTACATATGCTTTCATTTTGTTGGATAAATACCTAAAGGGTAAGATTGCGGAATCAAGGGGGTGAACAGACGTTTCTTGGCTACTAAAAAAATCCAACAGGATTGATCTTAAATTTTGAGATTTTCTTGTGAATGTTTCTTAGATTCATCAGGGGAATCAGAAAAGAATCTTCTAAGAAGGCCATTGTTGATTGTTTTTCAACACGTACTACAATTAAGATTGTATCATGAGGTGTTTGGTTTCTGGGTTTTTTTTTTATAATTCTATTAATGGTCACTTGTCCACAAAAATAATATTAAAGTTACAAATTCAAGAACTTAGTTCTTCCCTAATTTCTCAGAGCAATTTACAATAATTATATAATGATTACTTTTAAAGTTTAAATTATAGTTAATCTTAAACTTGCTAAGCTATATTTATAAACAATATAGGGGCCAGCGCTGTGGTGTGGCTGGGTAAAGCCCCAGCCTGGAATGCTGGCATCCCATATGGACGCCAGTTCAAGTCCCGGCTGTTCCTCTTCCGATCCAATTCTCTGCTATGGTCTGGGAAAGCAGTAGAAGATGGCCCAAGTCTTTGGGCCCCTGCACCTGCATGGGAGACCTGGAGGAAGCTCCTGGCTCCTGGCTTCAGATCGGCTCAGCTCTGGCTGTTGCGGTCATTTAGGGAGTGAACCAGCGGAATGGAAGGCCTCTCTCTCACTCTCTGCATCTCCTTCTCTGTGTAACTCTGACTTTCAAATAAATTTTTTAAAAAATTTAATATGTATCTTATTTTATTATCTATCACTACAGCAGTTATCTAACAGAGTTTCCCAAGTAAATTAATAATTTTTAAAACTTATATAGTAAGGGCCAGCGCCGCGGCCTACTAGACTAATCTTCCGCCTGCAGCGCCAGCACCCCAGGTTCTAGTCCTGGTTGGGGCGCAGGATTCTGTCCGGTTGCTCCTCTTCCAGTCTAGCTCTCTGCTGTGGCCTGGGAGTGCAGTGGAGGATGGCCCAAGTCCTTGGGCCCTGCGCCCGCATGGGAGACCAGGAGAAGCACCTGGCTCCTGCCTTCGGATCAGCGTGGTGCACCGGCTGCAGCACACCAACTGCAGTGGCCATTGAGGAGTGAACCAACGGAAAAGGAAGACCTTTCTCTCTGTCTCTCTCTCTCACTATCCACTCTGCCTGTCCAAAAAAAAAAAAAATATATATATATATATATATATATATGTATAGTAAGGCTTGATTTTCTTAAATGTTCATGTATTATTTAGAAGCTTAGTTATCTTAGGGCTTACAACTAAAAATTATAAGACTAAAGCGATCTGTTAATTGAATATTTTAAATTGAAACCCAAGGGCAATCCGTTACTTAGTATGGCAAATTATTTTAGGTACTTTTTTTTTTTAAAGATTTTATTTATTTGAGAGGTAGACTAACAGTGAGAGGGGGAGACAGAGAGAAAAGTCTTCTATCAGCTGATTCAGTACCCAAATGGCCCCAACGGCTGGAGCTGTGCCAGTCAGGAGCCAGGA